ATGTGTGTGTGTGTGTGTGTGTGTGTGTGTGTGTGATGTGTGTGTGTGTGTGTGTGTGTGTGTGTGTGTGTGTGTGTGTGTGTGTGTGTGTGTGTGTGTGTGTGTGTGCTGTGTGTGTGTGTGTGTGTGTGTGTGTGTGTGTGTGTGTGTGTGTGTGGTGTGTGTGTGTGTGTGTGTGTGTGTGGTGTGTGTGTGTGTGTGTGTGTGTGTGTGTGTGTGGTGTGTGTGTGTGTGTGGTGTGTGTGTGTGTGTGTGTGTGTGTGTGTGTGTGTGTGTGTGTGTGTGTGTGTGTGTGTGTGTGTGTGTGTGTGGTGGCGGCGGCTATTACTTTAATCCAGTTTTATTATTCCTTCAAATGAAAAGTGCCATTTATACTTTTGCTGTATTTCCATAGACAGTTTTTGTGACTCAAAATGGCCCTTCATGCCACAGGTTACTGATACATCTTAACAAGTGTTCCAAATCTGAAACCTGTTTCACTTGGATTTTCATTTTGTTGAGCTTGATAATGTGAAATGGGGTTGGAATTAATATGTGGCGCTGTTGTTAAACCCATACTGATCAACCATCAACAGCTTTATTATAATGTAACACTGCAGAGAATTGTAACTTGAATTTTGAGTACAACATATTAGCATCAGATGACGTTCCTAGTAAATGTTTAAAAGAGAAAATCTATACTCAGTGATGGATTCTGTAGAGTATTATTTTTGTTCATACAGCAAACACTTTTACAAACAGACCATGTGTTTATTTGTTACGTGGCTGATAACACATCAAACGCTCTCTCTATCCCCCCCGGTCTCTCTTCCTCCCTTCTCTCTGTCTCTTTCCTCATATTCTGCACGCATTTATCTGAGAATTCTGTTACAGTTTGTGTATTGTTTTGGAGTTTGTATATGTGTGTGCGCGCAGCATGTGTACCCTATTTAATTTCCATATCTGTGTGACAGGGGTGCAGCTGTGGTGTGTTGGAGCAGTTCTAATAAGCAGGACATAGTGAGCCCTGAATCATACTCCTTAGCTAATTGTCTCATTGCTATTCAGGCGTCAAAAAGTTTAAAACTGGCAGTGCAGAGTCACTGATTCACGAGGGAACAGAAACACACTCACGCCCATATAACACTGTCCAACATGAGATGGTCACTAACGTGCTAACACAATATGCAGACCCACAAGCCATCCATACACACACATTGTTCGTGTCTTATTCAAATGTGGCTGTTCATTGCTTTACTATCTATGATCTAAGTAATAGGATATGTGGCTATAGGGATTAAATTGAGTTCAGACGTGTTTAATATTGCCAAATATAAAGAGACAGAAAAAAACAGCCCTCCATTTAATAAAAGTAGTGAAGCTTTCAAGTGTGTAATGTCATGGGAACATTGAAAATAGAAATGTTTCACATTAGGTCTCAGGGTTAGGTGGATAGCAGGCAGTTGGAAGAAGTGATCAGACGAACTGACTTCTGTTAAAACAAACCAGCAGAACATGGAGTAAACATGACTTTAACAAACTGACCTACTGTACCAGAGCAGCCAGGTCTTTCTATGCCTTCTATTTCTGTACTCTAGCATTGCAGCATAGGAAAACAACCGAAGGAAACAAACCCAGACGGGCTCTTGGAGATAGATTATGTTTGTGTGAGTCATTTCCAGTCAATTGGCTTGCCACACTGACTTTCTGATTGAGGAAAAACAAAGGAATAATTTATGTTCCGCTTGTTAGACGCTTGCCTCAATGTTTGTCTCAGACCTTTATCCATAACCACACAACACTGCCACTCTCTCTTTCTCATTTCCTCCTTCTTTCCCGTCTCTTTACTTTGCTCCTCCTCTCCATCTCCCACTCTAATGCTTCCTCTCTCTCTGAAGGAGACTGTATTGACCAGTTGACATTTCTAATGTTGACAAATGTCCTGCTGATATAACATGGAATCACTCTGTCTTTCTCCCAGAAGGTACCGCATTTATTTATTGTTAACACATTTGCTTAACCTCCTACAGTACAGGCTATATATACAATGCTTTGCACCCCTGAGTGCTCTTCATGTACCTCATGAGATAGATGAACACATTATTTTATAATAGTGTTCAAATAATTTATATATATATCTATAAAACACAACAACATACTGTATAGTCTCTCTAAGCCCCACCCATAGTCCACCCACACAGTGTGTTTTTACTCATGTTACCTAGTTAACACTCACAGGACTGTGTGGGCGTGTATGAACTGTGCATGATCAACATTTCTCTCACCCTTCTGTTGGTTTGTTGTTCCTATTGTGGCAGAACAACTTACACTTCATCATTATTATTTGAACATTGGGTTTGATAACATTACGTAATTAGCAGAATAGCTTCACATCCATCTTGCTGACTAAAGGTCTTATGCTGCGGAGTAATGAGTAACTATATCTGTGATAAGTAGTGAAGAAAACAAAGTAATATGATTTATATTGTAACATGTATAATAGTTAGAAATTCAGAAATGAAGAGAAATAGAAGTCACAGAAGAATATCAATGTAAAGTAACATACAATTACATTTAACAAATCTTGCTCTTCTTTAAAAAAACAAAAGGCTTCCTAGTAATGTGTTGGATTTAATTATTGGGTCAAATATATCCTCGAGATGCATTCTTGATTCACCAATATGTGCTTATAATGGTGTGGTCTGGACATAGAGTGACACCTAGTGGTGACAAAGGGCACTGTTATGTTGGGATGTAACCATAGAGTATCTGCCTTGTCTGGGTGTAACCTTGACAGCATCAACTTGTCATGTGTAAATACAAAGTTTAGTCCAATGTTGTATTTTCAGTTGATTACATTATGTATACTTTGTGAGGAATCTTAATAGAATATAATGAATGAAGACATTTGGTTGCTTTGCATAAACCATAACATTAAACAATAAACACATGCATATAGGTCTTTCAATGCAAATATATGCAACCACTTCATCAATCAACACTTCCTAGCACTTCCTTGATGATTTGTGCAGTTTCAATTTGTTTACCCTATCAAATATAATCCATAATAAACCCTGTCATGCAGAACTTCTTTCTGTAAAATGAAATGAATCCCGTTTCTTCACACCCCATGTATAAAGCGCTCTCTGTTACAGCCTAATGTGGATAATTCTCCAATCCCCTCTTGGCTGGACTTTTGGATTGCAGTCTCAACTCGTTACTTGTTTGGCCGGAGGACCGGGATTTACAAATCCTTCTTGCACCAAATTGGCTCTCGGGGAAAGACAACTACGTCACCCAGAATCCCTAGTGGTGGCCATTACTCAAAACTATTCATGCAGAGGAGACGCTGAGCAGAATGGGAAAACGATTTCAACATTGCCGAGAGGGAACAGCTGCAGCATTCTGCTGTTGGAGGATGACAGATTTCCTTTCCCCTTCCTCACGCTCAATCTCTCATACTTTCTTTCTCCTCTCTATTTTCTTCTCCACATTTTCTTTTACTTCTTCTGTTTCTAGTGATTTTCTCCGCTGCTTATTTCAGCACATCTTTCGCTCTTTCCCTCCTTCTCACACACACACACACTAACACACAGATTTCCATGCAGAGTAAAATACATTCCCAGGAATATATGTCCAAGGAATTCTAATAGGGCCCTTTCGCATTTCAGCGTTGTAAAAAAGGAATCAACATGCTGTCTTCTAACAGAGTGCAACAAGTGCGTGTTACTTGGTGGGCATGTGTGTTTTACCACAGGAGTGAATATCCTGAGGTAATACTGTAAATCTGTCAATGTGAGTAATAATTAAAGCTAGAAGTGGAGTTTCCTGTTATTTTTACGGTTGGAAAATCAGCCTTTAGGGTGAGCTCTCAGCTGTGAAAGATGTGTGTGTGACAGGTTACTAAATCTCTAAATAACCACTGAAATAGAAACCTGGATATAAAATGACCTGTGGCATGTGTGTCACATACACACACACACACACACACACTCTTGAATACAGAACATACCAATATTCATCCAATTCAAATGTAACTCCTCTTTCTCTGTGTGCGAATTAGAATTTTAGTTTGGAGTGTGTGTGTGTTTGTGTGTGTGTGTGTAGTAAAGCCACATCTGGAAACAATAGAGCCGTAGATGCTGTCACTTTCCTTTTACCTCAGGCTTTTCAGCGAGTTCTTAAACAAACACTCAATTCACTCATAGTAAATTACAGGAAGGAAATTGGAGCTGCAGACTTAGATATTTGGAATCTTTCTCTCTCCTTTCTGTCAAAACGCACGCACACGCACACACACACACACACACACACACACACACACACACACACACTGTAAGCATGCCCAGAATTAATCCGTTTTTCCTGATGCAATTTTACCCATGTTTTGGTAAATTAAAGTCTAGCGTGCATTGAGTGTAATTGCAAAACCCAACTTTCAGCAAATTCTGAAGCAAGAGGAGGTGTGTGTGTGCGTGTGCTACTGCGAGTTTGTCTTTGTGTACTGTAAGTGAGTTAGCGTGTGTGTAGGGGATGTTGCAAGTTCATAGCTAATGAGATGTGATGGATGGTACAGGCATGTTTACACAGTAATTACTGAGTTTCCATTGTGGATTCAAACAAGTTTAGTGGTTATGAAGCATTTCTCAGCCTAAGCCAAAGAAACGCTTAAAAAGAAATGCGAGAAAGATCTAAACGGAGTAGCTGCTGTATAGATGTGTAGAGAAAGTTCCTATATATATTAAGCAACAATGCTTAATTTGTCTCATCAGACAAGAGGTGGCAGCATTGTTCAACCCATTAAATGAACACAACTGAGACATGCATTGTAGACCGATTCATTCTTATTGTTAATGCATGAATCTATGATACTGGATGTTAATTATATTGAGACTTGAACCAATTAGTTATTAATCATCAAGGCAGTTAGCAGATAGTTGATCTTTATCGTTTTACAAGCAAAGGTAGCAAACACTGCTGTTATTTGTCTTATGTGACAGTTAACATGTTTTATGATTTGAAATTGTCAGTCTGAAAAACTATTGGAAGAGCCATTTTCTTGTATCCATTAAAACACATAAAATGTCATCCACATTATTGGAAACCAAAACGTTTTTATTCATCATCATCTTCTGATACAAAAGTGTTTTAAATAACAGTAAAGTAACAGTTAAGTTTAACAAAAATTGTCACTTTTTTACAAGGATAAATTAGCAATTTCTTAATAATACATTGATGACATCATCACAACAATGAGATTTCTACACAAACGAAACAGTCTAGACCTTTGAGGACTACCATCACTGTTGGTGAACTGATCCCTAACAATAACACATTTCTGGGCGTCCCGAAAAGCAGTAAGAAATCTGTATTACCAGTGGCTCTCAATCTTCATTACGCTGGGCACACACTCGGTATGTTTCAAGGCACAGTGATTGTTTGGAAATGTCACCTGAAGCTCAGCATGGTCATACTTGGGTAGAGAGCCAGAACATTAAGGCAGTTTCAGAGGGAAACGGCATTAGCTCAGAGGGGAGGTGGTCGGGGGTTCTTTTAATTCTCTGTGAGGTTTGTTTGACTTTGGAAATGTAATAAGAGTGTCCATGTATCATGGTTTGAGTAACACTGGTATTTCAGGTTTCTACGATTTTCCAAAAGTATGTTTAAATGCAATAAGGGTGTTGTTACAGTAAGCATATGTTGGGACCATGGAAATACACACTGTATTTTCCGTCCCAATCTAAACATTATCTTAAAAATACCTGTGACAGGACTTTGTGAGGCACTAACTGGTTTCAAATGACACACCAACTTATTCTTACCCCTTATACATTTAAACAGCCCAGTCATTTTCTTGTCTCTACTTAAATGTAGAAATCAATGTGACACATGGCCCACATTCAGTATTATACATTCAAAGACTCACTGAAACGCAAGAGCTTTGCTTGATAGATTGTCAGGCAAATATACAGTGCACTGGAGCAGTTGCACATTTTTGGTGGGTCCAGCAGTAAGACCAGAAACAACTACTTTAATTGGCACTATAAGCAATTATAGAGAAGAACTGCAAGGTTCAAATGTTGGGAGATGCCCATTATCATGGAAATGCACCACTACAGACAATGAACAAGAAGTCATGGCTCTGTAATCCATGAAGATTTGAAATATAATTTAGAACATTATTTCCAGGGATGACTTGATTGTCTGGTAAATGAGCCATGATGCAATAGACAAGGTTAAAGAGACAGGCAGGCAGCGGGCCAAAGAGACACGGACAAAAAACAGACAGAAAGAAAAGAGACAAAATGAGGCAGATATTGTCTCAATATAGGTATTATCATTATGATCGTAATAATAGCCCATGGCGGTTGAGATTTGTGGAAACTGATTGCTGTGTATTCACCTGCATAAATGTTTTTGTGCACATGCATGTGTCAGTGATAGCTCTTTGTTATTGCATAATGTTTCTTTTGGCAAGTGATTGTCTAATAACCTCTCACTCTTCAGCTTGTCTAGGGTCCGATGTTTGGAAACAAGGACAGAGGGAATCATTTAATTTCCCACTTTTTGTGGTAACTCAAGAGCATATGCAGTACAGGGTTTCAACAAAGACAGCGCTTATTAGTGGAAGTAAGCTGTGATTTTCGTAGATTACTGAGGTAAAACACACACGCCTACATTTCCCAGAAGCCTTACGGCTTTCATATTAATGGGTAAATAAAAGGCAGATCTGGGGTCCTCCCAGTATTCATTGCGGTACGTATTTATAGCTACCACAGACTTAACCTAAGACACGTTAGAGAAAAATAAGAGATTATTTTTCTCTGTTTGCTCTTGCCGTTAAACATATTTGCAAGAAAAGTGATTTTGAATAAAACCACACAAGTTATTTTTCTGAAGCCTTCACAATAAAACCTGACCAAACTGTTAAAGTCTGCATGCTAATATGCTGGGTGATGATTTGCTATTACATCACTGCCGTCCCTGGTAATGCACTTGTGACACGCATAGACACATATTGTATAAAGTTATAGTGCATATACAGCTCAAAGCTGCTTTCCCAAAGAATTCTGAGCAATACAATCCCCTGCTGTTTTATATTGTAGAAACGGTAATAATTTACAAAAATGTAACAAATCACAGGTTGAAGGCCATGCTTTATATTTTCTCGTTATATTTTAGATGCGGTTGTTCTGGTATTTGATTTTTGATTTTCCCATATGGAACTAAAAGCCCTACAGGAACTCAAGTTGTCAGGTGCTTTTAGGAAACGTCAACTTTCATCTGTACAATGTCTGCACCAGGACCCTCCAGTGTAAAATTCAGAACTTCAAAAGACCCTCCAAAGACACATTGGATGAGGCAAACTGTCTCCAGCGGGTTCAGTCTCTTCTGCTCAGGGAGGAAAGAGAGGCAGAGAGGTCGACGTGATGCTACGCAGCTTATCGCTGTGTCTGGATTGCATTTTCCTGCCTTTTCCGTCTCTCTTTCTCCTTCCTTTTCCGGTTTATTCATCTCTCTGGGAGAATCAAGTCTAACAGAGGTAGAGAGGCTACTTTTACGACTCAATCCTCCACTTTTCTTCTCCATAACACCGGTTAGAGGCAGTTTGAAGGGAAGGGGCATGCTCTCGGCAAGCTTTTTTTCGATGCCTTTTACATCCAATGCCTTTCCTTGAGAAGCTCCTGCTACTCCCTCTCATTTCTTTTCTCTGTCCTCTTCATTGACAGTCAGTTTCTGCAATTGACAGAGAAGCATATAGAAGTCCATTTATGCCCCTTCCTCTATTTCTGTCACACAACTGTCTCGTTGCCTTTCCCCGGTTTGATCCAGCCCTCGCCCGGTGCCCTCTTGCCCCCCCGGCTCGCCCTGCTGTCTCTGAGGAGGCGGGCCGTGCACCGCTGCCAGGTGTGGAGGGTTTTTGCTGACCAGATCCACATGCCTGATGTGATGCCTACAAGCAGTGACATAAAGATTCGAAGCATCTCTGATGCCATGTATGAGTCCCGGGTGCTGGCCTTGAACTCCCCCCAGTGAGAGAGCTGGTAGAGGTAACAGCCAATGACAGTCGATGCTGGAACAGTGTAGAGAACAGAAAACACTCCGATCTTCACCATTAAACGCTCCAGCTTGTCTGTTTTGGCGCCGTCCTTCTGCAGATTGGAGCGGATCTTGAAAAGAGCCACCAGGCCAGCGCAGATGAACAGAGTGCCTGAGGTTCAGAAAAGAGTCATGTTAAGACCAGCAGATAGAGAAAACCCAATGACAGTTGAATAAGGTCTGATTATACAGGTTTAAGAATGATAACTTGGTCTTAGTGAGTCAAATGTTGGTATATGCTATCAGTTCTTAACTACAAATGGGTAAAACCCCAGAGAAACAGTTAACCTGATTGTACTATCATGTTGTAGTTACCTATTAGAAGGTATGTGGCCAGTGGAGCCACCACAAAGCCGGTGAGCGCTTCCTGCTGCAGGTTGCCAACATAACAGAGTCCAGTTAGGTCGTCTGCATCCACCAGTCGCATTATGAGGATGACGATGGTTTTAACGGCGGGGATGGCCCAGGCTGCTATGTGGAAGTAGGAGCTGTGCATTTCAATAGCCTCATGGCCCCACTTCAGTCCAGCAGCCAAGAACCAAGTGAGGGTCAGGATTACCCACCTAAAGAGAGAGCAGGAAGAGTGAGTGAAAAGTCAAAACACTGCTCTTATTTACATGTATCAGATTGTCTTCTGTAACTGGCATTCATTTTGGTTGCCAATAACAATTATGTGTTTCCTGGAAGTAAGAAGCTGTTGCAACATTGGACTAATGTTTACTGCTCAAAACTTAACTTCGCACTCTATAGTATTTAGCTCATCATGGGATAGTAATATGCTGAATAACAGAGGGTTGTGATCATGTTATAGGAGGCAGTGATGTCAGTATTCTGCTCTTCAAAAAGGAAACACTGAGGACCAACAGGAAAACGAGGAAAAAGGAAGAGAAAAAGCTGTGACAGCAAATGAAGTGCTCTATGAACTCAAAAAGTGGCTTTTTACAAAGGCAGCCTTTGTGTGTGGAAATGAATCCATCTAGTACAGAGATTATGAGACAGGATAGTTAGAGTTTAAAGAAAACAGGATGCAAGTCTCGTGTTCCCATTGTTCCACCAAAGTCCATTCAAAACAGCTGATGACAATGAGACAAAGACGCGCAGATTGATAGGATGAAAAGTGAGTGTTTCTGTGTTTTTTTTAACTTACCAAAGTGAGGAAGCCATACCAAAGAAGTAGAGCAGAAGGAAGACTATGGCACAGCCGGTGCTCTTTAACCCTTCTTGTACCAGAATCGGTACTGCAGTGGCATCGAGGTCGCAGGAAACACGCTCCCTTCCCAGTGTCAAGCGTACCTGCAGGAAATTAAAACGGGTTAGGGTTATGGTAAGCAGAGATTTTTTTCTTATTAAAAGAAAGATACAAATTCACAATATGATTATTTCCCATTACATCCAGATCTAATGTGTCCATGTAAATGAACATTACTTGATTGAATATCTTTATTTAGTGATTAATAATAAGCTTGGTTTGTATAGCATCTTTCATACTAAATTTGCAGTCAAAAGTGCTTCACAGTGGACAGAACATCCAGTTCTTTGGCTTTAATAGATTTGATTGAATTAATTGATTGGACAAAGCTTGGAAGACCCTAAGCATGCAGATGTTGGCTTACTAGGCTTTCATACCTTTAAGTTTCATCTATGTCCCTCGTAAAAATACGATAAAACCGTATAACACATTTATCGACATACCGCTCTAGCAAAATACAAACATACAACATCATTTTTTTCACAAATTATTCAATTTATAAAAAGCTACTATAATCTAAATTGTGTTTTATGTATTATAGATTTATTGTTATTCATTCTCTCAAAACACTCCACTTTAATGGGCCAGTATAAAACTGAACACTTACCAGGTAGGCCACACTGTACAGATTACAGCACATAGACAGGAAGATGATGGGCCTTTCAGGGTAGGAGAAGCGCTGTGAATCCAACAGGAAGGTCAGGACCGTCAGAGTGGTCGACAGGAAGCACAGCACGGCCCACACCGCCATCCAGGCGTCGGTGAAGACTTTGGCCCCTCGGCGGTACAGCCCGCTGTCGTAGCCACACTGAAGAGCACAGCTTTCGGACTGTTTTAACCAGGTATACTGGTCAGGTGCAGATCCCAGTGCCTGACACTCCTCCGGGTGGGGAGGAATACGAAAAGGCTGGTAGGGAGGTTCCTCGTCCCCCGGGCCCTCCATGCACATGTGGTTGTGGTCGTTTTGCGGTGGAAAGAGGCTGCAGTTCAGCACCTGGAGAAGAGACATGGTGTTAATTGTCATTTTGTTTGCTCATTATGGCTGTGATGTGATATACACTGTCAAAAGCATTTTGAGCTGATTTTCTCAAAGACTTTGGTTTAGTATTAACCATATTCCACATGACACAACGTCATCCTTAAGTTATATTTGTGAAGACATGCAGGCTGTTCTTGTGATGATTTAAATTACCTCAGGCCATATGAAGCCAAACTCGTGAAGCACCGGGAGGCACTTCCTCTTGACGGACAGACACATGCTACCACAGGGACCAATGGGGATGGGAACCTTGTCGGTGCACATCGGCACATAGACTGAGCACAGGAAGAACTGGAGAAAAAATATAAAAGATCACAAATTAAAAATGTTGCCACAAATAGTCAGATCTCATTGCATACAGTTAAGAGTGACTACAGAGCAAAAATCCATTCAATTAGATTAGTCTGATGATATTGTGTAGAGAATAACAGCTGTTCTGTTTTTTATAAAGAGAAAACACAGTATTAAGGAACAACGCAAGTGTTAAAATGACAGTATACAAGAAACACTTTTAACTGAAAATGCAGGAAGAATGCAACAGCTATCCAAAAAAGTGTGTCATATTTTAGTGAACTGCTTTGTAAGCTTTGTTCTGGCGAAGTTAACCGTGATGCAGTACGGAATCATGACAGTGGAGTAGAGATTGTTCAATAAGTGTATACTGTGTTGCCTATCAGGATTACAGTTAAAGGCTACACCTTCTACTCCCCCATGATTATCCTTCATCTACTTGCATTATACCAATTACTTTACTTCTGCCTTCTTTGTCTTCACTCTCAATACATTGCAACAGCTCTTCTAGTGGTGGCTCTTTATTTTTACTTCTGAAAAGAAACTCTACGACACCAATGCCAACACTAACCTGCTCCAAGGTTAGACATACAACTCCACATCTTTAAAAACAATCTGTGGACTTGACAACACTGAGGGCATGTGCCATGTAATGCTTCATAATCCCCCCCTAATCCAAGGCTCAGTTTTCTCCGTCCCATGGCAATGGTTTTTTGAAATAGATATGTAAAGTCAGGGTTGTAAAGATAGTGAACCGTCTGAAGTCACAGTTGACTCGATTGATGCTAGCGATGTGAAGGAGTAAGTATTCTGCGGTTACAAAAGGTTGCAATTTAAGGTAATTTCATGCCTTTACAGTGAAATCTGTTTGAAGCCGCAGTGTAAAATTGTTCCAGGCTCTTCATATAAAAATACACAGAAGCAGAAAGAACATTTCAATTTGCTACTTTCAAGTAAAGAAAACAAACATGTGCTCCAGGAACTTGGAAAGTGTGATTGCTGACTTTAAATACTAAAACTGTGGAGAGTTTGCTAGCATTTTTCATTTCAGAAATACCAAAATATTTGCCGGACCATAATGAGAACTAAATGCCTGGGCTTGCAGCCCATCTCCAGCTAAAGAAATCCCAACTTGAATCTCGAGTGAAGCCCAAATGAAACATGAATCTAAGAAGAGTGTCAAGGTTGGGAAATAAATACACACAGAACCATTATACAACCTTCTTCTGTGAGAATTTATTTGCCAAGTAAACATAAAACAGTGTGCATTTGTGCAGCACAATAACTTGGGTTATAAAAAATTACAACCATAATAAAATATTACAGTATAATAATAAAAAATAGAGACCAAATTACCTTTTCAGTTTTATAACAGGCCGAACACGTTTCTATATTCGCAAAACAACAGACTCGCTTTTACTTATTAGTCTAAAGTTCTAAACCATGATAAATAAACTATTAACTGTGTTACTGACTGTGGGGAAGTATGTCAAAATAAGTTATCGAAGTCAGAGGGAATTTACTCTTAACGCAATTTGTTACAATGTTCTCTGATCAGTATCTTTTCAGTAGCAGCTATCTCCTGTAAATAGAGCAGACTGTCCTGATCTGAGGACAGTTTTAAGTTTCTCAAATAGAGAATCTTTGTTCGCAAACTGAACCACAAGTATTAGAGTTGTCCTGAGTAATCTGCTGATGGATTGACTGCAATTAAGTTAAATTAAGAACCTAACAAAGTTGCCGGAGGGGTTGTTTGTGTGATTGTACATTCAAAAAAAGTTTGTTCAAAAGCAGAAGGTATTAAATGAGATGCAATACCATGCTGGATATTTCCCACAGTGAATTATACCAATGTATCACTTTCTGGGTGTTTCCCCCGTCCGTTGGTAACCTGAGTGCTGTCACTTCACTGCTAAAAGCTGCTCCGGTTACTTGTCAGGAAGCCTCCCATTAGAGCAAATGTTGGGGGGATACGGTTACCCTTTCCCCTTTCCTCCCTCTTTAGCGTGCACGCATGTGTGTGTGTGGGAGAAAGGGAGAGGGAGGGGGGGATAGCTAATGTTACGGGACAATTTTCAGCTGGAGGACAGTTTTATGCTGCAGTTGCTCCATGTTCGGTCTGGCTGTCTCACACAAATGTCTTTAAGCACTTTATTAATTTAGCATGGGAAAGTATTTTTGGGCCCTTTCCCCAAACACATGTGCACACACACAAATCTCTGAATAGGTTGTAAAAGTAGTAATAGATATCTAACACATCTCCAAACTGGAAAGTGGACACTTTACAAAGACACATCTGAGAAAACATTAGATCTCATGTCTCGATTCAGATATCTTGGTGTGATGTGTTTACATGTGGGACATCTTAAAATAAATACATGTAATACACATAAAAACTAAATGCCATTCACAGACAATTTGATCTTTGTTGAATCTAGTTGTTCCAATTATAATCTAAAGTAAAAATCTTAAAGATGGGAAAGAGGATGATTCAATTTGTTTCTTACATGGTGCATGAGGCAAACAGGCAGCATTTGTCTGAGCACACTGAGGGCACCATTGTTAACAAGGAGACAAGTATAAAACATGGAAGACTCAGCTGTTGCTGTCTGGGGCATGATCTCAAAATGTCAACAGACAGAGGGGACATTTTTATTGAAATTAACATGACAGCCTGGCGCAACAGCAGGGAAGGATGAAATCAGGGACCCCTCTGCTAATTTTAACTCTGTGGGGGCAAACCTATATTAAAATACTCCTCATTATCACAGGCTCCATCAGTCTAACAATTCACTATTGCTGGTAGCTCCCTTTCATGTGCTCTGGAACCACACTCTTCCCATCTCTATCTCTACACATCTCCACACACAAATATAGCAAGACTATTTCGACTCAGCCATGCCTTTTTAAAGTCCAGGATCAGTGTTCCTAAATGTGCCCCAGCCTGTCTGAGCGCTTTTAATAACATGATCTATTCTAACATCAGTATGCATTTCTCACATCCTCCCAGTACCTTGAGTTGACTGGAGCAGCCGTACTGTATCAGTGGAGTGAACGTGGTCAGCTGCAGCTCGGCGTCCGACTGCAGCACGTTGCCGACCAGATTGGGCATCTTGGTGACGTTGTAACCCAGACCCTGGCACATGCTGATCCGGATCGGGTCACAGGTCATTTCCTCTACCTCATCGCCGAAAGCCAGCACCATAGCGAGCGGAGCCATCAGCCCGGACAGGAGGAGCAGTGCTGCCCCGCTGAACCACACCATCATCCCGGGCATGGTCACTGAGCGCCTGACTTCTGCAAATGTTGCCACAGGAGATATCCTCCTCAAAAGCAAAGTGAGGTGTGAATAGTCCAGGAAGATTGGAGCGCGTGTAGTCCGTGCGTTTTGCTATATTATCCAATTCCGATCCATTCAGTAGAATAAAATATCCAGAAAACAGCTGGGAATCATTGCGCGATCGGAGCGTATAATCTTTTTTCAATAAAACTCCTACATTGGGGTAAATCCCGCTGTCCGTTCGCGTTGTTTTCCGTTAATAAGTCCGTAGAAGTGAAGCGCAGCCTCGGGATACAGCGTTTGTGATTTTGCACCTACTCCCTACAAGCGTCCAGCTCTAAACTTTATTGTGTCTGCGAGGAGAGACTGTTATTCCCGTCCGGAGGAGAGCCGACCAATCCGTGCGCGGGAGTTGGGTTTCCCTGACCAACCACTGACCAGGAGGGCGGGATCCAAGAGAAAAATAGAAGAGCGACCCTCTTCTCCTCCCCTCTCCCCCATTTTCAGTCTCATCTTCTCCCCTCTCCTTTCCTTCAGTATTTTCTCCTTTTCTGTCTTCTTTCTTTTCTTCTTACTTACTATTCTCTTCTTTTACCACTCTCCTCCTGCAAAGAAAATAATCGAGCTTCCCCACTAATTCTGACAATATCCAGAACATCTATTTATACTGCTGATGTGGCTTACATGTGTTTATGTTGGCTGTATTTTTAGAAAATAAGCATTTGAAAACGTGAGTGTGTTTTTATTTTATATTTAAAGTACCTATAATGGTCTTTAAAGCCTGTCTGGAATTCACCACAGGTTCCACTCTCCCTGTCTAAAGGGCTGTCAGCTCTAAGTGCCCATGACATTGTAATTGAAAGTAGGGCCTTAAGTGATGCTGAAGCATTGGAAATCTGTTTAGCATTGCAATGAATGCACATACTGGACAGGTTGTGTTTGCTTGTGGCACCCTGGGAGAAGACTTCTCCTTTACATCATGAAGCTAGAACTGAAATGTGTTGTTTTGGCTTTTCTGTGTTGTAAAAGTGGACTTGGGTGGGAAAGTGCTTGGATTTATTGCAAATATCTTGGGAGGAGGAGAGCTCAAGGAGTACTTGATTTGTGTTTTCTTCCAAGTGATTTACAGTTCTGAGGCTGCCAGGTGTAATCAAACTCAACTTAAGAGCTCAAGGCCTTTTCAAATACCACAAATACCTGCAACTGTATTCTGATGTCACTTTTTTGTTAAATGGAGCAAGAATCAGATGAGATCAATGTTCAGACCAACACCTTACTTTATACTAGATGGAAAGTTATGCTTTATTCTATTTTAGATACCATATTTGATTCCACTTACATGCATCCATGACAGTGTGAGGGAAAATCCTGAAATCAAACTATTTCTTAATGTCTGTTTCAGCATTTTCCCCTAAGTTCGGAACCTTTGAAACAACTGAATTTGGGTGAGATCATTTATGCCTTTTTGATCTCAAACTCATCTATCTTCTTCTGCCCAAGACACAAAGCAGAGAAATATGAGAAACCAGCAAAAAAAAACCTGGACAGAGACAAGAAAAATGAGCAGGGTCGCAGCCTAACAAATTATGTTGTGCTTCGGGCCTAATCATTTCCATATCTCTTTTTCTCCTGGGATTTGTGTGTCAGATATTTCCAGGAGTTGCTGTTGATAAAAGCCTTCCATAAATACTTAATACGTGAAAACATCAGCAGCACTCTGGCAGCCTGGTCTCATTTACCCCTTTCACACCAAGGCTTTTTCCGTTCTAGCTCCGTGCTAGACCTTTTCTGGTTCAGAACCGGTTCTTCGGTTCAGCTCCCGCTCTGTTCACACCGCTCAGAGCCCGACTGGTGCTGCCGCTGCTGCGTCATGACGTCACAGTTTACGTCGCTGATTTTCTCCCCAACGGAGCTCACAACAACAACGGGCCGGGGACTGCGTCGGGTCGATGATCGTGTTGCTTTTAATCATACGAAGCCAGATTAAATTAAATAACGACTTCTCCAACCTTATACTTTTCCCCAGAGTGCCGTGGTTCATTGTTTATTAATGTGTTTCAGCGGCATTTACCGACCGCTGCAGTGCTGGCTGCTCTTCCACGGGAGTGTATTCTCCCGTTAGCTCCGGGTTAGCTCACACGGCTCTAAAGTATTCACTGTCACACAAGCAGCTGATACATATCCCCAGTTCCCCTTAAGTGAATGTGTGTCTGTCTGAATTGACGCTGTTTGGTGTCAGTCTGAATTGACGCTGTTTGGCATCACAACGCTGTTATGAAAGTTTCTCTGGTATAACATGGGTGATGTTAGCATAGCAACCGAAGCTAAACTGACTACTTGCTAAGCCGTTTTCTACAGGCACTTTTTACCGGCGTATTTTTCATTATGATTCTACTTGTGATAGTCGGACATGACAACCTGTGCAGCCCATGTATTGATTCCATCCGATAGCTGCTATAATAACAAACAAAACGTCTGCCTGCTCTCCACAATGATCAATAACAGCGAACGGATGGTCAAAGTAAGGTACAAATAAACAGAATCACACGAAGCCTGGTTAGTGTTGCCTGACTTTATAAAGCGTGTTTTTTTTTTTTACAAGTGTGTGGTTGCGTTCTAGTCACTTTGCTCAGCACTACTGCTTGTTACAACTTTTATTTGCCGTACTCGCCTTAACTGTTAGCTCAGGTTAATCTCGCCCCCCTCCGACGTAAGCGTGACGTATGCGGTTCTTGCTTCTAGACGGACAACTTTTTGGTGCTCGAAACGAACCGGATTCCGGAGTTTAGAGGCTGCACCGCTGCGGTGTGAACAGGAAAACCTGGTGCTTTTCAAGCTCCAGCTCCTAACCGGCCCTGAAACACCGTTGGTGTGAATGGGGTAATTGTGCTGCTGTGTTTTCACTCCTGGATTATAGTGTGATTTTTAGGCAAATCCAGTGTGACAATTGATTGGCAGCAGCAATGACCTCTCCACCCAGCAAACCCCACCCCCGACCCCCAACACACGTATCTTCCCTCTGCTCACTCACATTCGCATACGCACCATCCCCCTCTACTGCTCTTTGGCTGAACCTGGGGTCAAGACCTGAAGTAATTAGCACTGAGCTGAAACAATAGAGTGTGCCCTGGAGCTGATGATTATCAGGGGCGTGGTGTGTGTGTGCCAAAGAAAGAAATGAATGGGACCATGAAATAGAGAAAACTTAGAATCAAATCAAAGCTCCATTTGTTTGTTAATTTAAGCCAAGAGAAAAATAAATAATACTTTATCTACTTTTACAAGAAAAAGAGTCAGACAAGTAATAAGATAAATGAGGGTGAGGTAAAGTGGTTCAGCAGCACATTATCAGCCCGAGCCACCAGCACACTCCATCCCACTGTTTACTTTCACAGTAGAGTGTGAATAGCAGGGGTGAGTAGACAACGTGTTGGAATTGCCAGACTAATGACCATCACACTGAGTGGATAATGACCACAGTTACCCTTTAGGCCATAAAACCACTGAGTTAATAATCAAACAGGCCAATTAAATGGACATTTGGCTGGTAAGCAAAGAAAAAAAGATCATCTTAGGTCACGTATGAACAATACTGTATAATATTTTTGTGATTTAGGCGCCGTTTACACGAGGAGAAAACTGCTTGTATCTGCATAGTTTCGCATGCGTATAGCCCTATTATTTACACGAGGCCGATAGAAACTGACCCTACAAACGATAACGGGTCCCAAGGTGGATAGATTTGCAAACGAAACGCTCTGGGGGGTCAACCGAGTCCGTGTAATCACCTCTATACGAATATTTCCTGAAAAATAGCGAAAAAAAAAAAAAAATAGCACCTCTCCTGCTCATTGCTGTAGCAACTATCAAAAATAGCTGTGTTAATTAAACGCACAAGGGGTTCTTGAATGAAATAATATTATAAAAGGCAAACCAGAATAGTTAACGCCCAATATACTCCTTAAACAAAATAAACAGAGTCAGATTTCATGCATTGATCCATTATATTGACAAAGGAGGATCTCACCCGGTGTTTGTAGAGAATATCTCTCTTTTCTGAGCGGGTCCTCTCCACGGAGACGTCGGTCGATGCAATATCCACAGATTCGGTTTCTTTCAGTTAACTTCCCCGTAGCATTTATCCATATGCTGAGGAAATTACTATATCCCGCTGAATACCAGCAATCACCACACACACTTCCTCCTGTCAGTAGCTACTGCTAGTGCTACTGCTACTGACCATGCTACAGATATTAGTGCAAAAATATACAGCTCCTCTACCACAACCATCAGCAACAAGTGGACATGGAGAATTACATGAACTACATGTTGCTAAATACACGGCGGGGCATGAACAGAAGGGTAGCCATAGCAACATTGCGGCGGGGGCTGCTGGGGCTGCTCTTCTTCGCTGCTTTTGGTGTATTTTGGCGGAAGTTACAGCGCCACTTACAGTCCCAGCATATGTACTACAGCGTTTCCAGCGGCCTCGTTTGAACAGACACGTTAAATGAAACAAATGCATGTGAACGGAATACTTTTTTAAATACGCATACTGTGCATAAACGCAAACGGTCCCGTGTGAGCGGGGCCTAAGTGCTGGGAGTGTATTCTCTGGCTATCGTACTTCTATGTTAAACTCACTCTGACCAAACCAGCCATCATCTGCAAGAGGAAATCAGACTGCCAATATACGGGTTGATGCAAGCATAACACAAACATTTATGCTTACTAGTTAATTGATGGTGACTGTATGGAAAAAAAGTGCTTGTAGGCTGCAGGACATTTCCAATCATAATGTATTAAGAACTTGATTTGGATAGCAGGAAGTGGGAGGTTCAGGAGGGTTTAGGAATTTCAGCTGTGCATGTCAATGAGGGCAGCGATTGGATCAACTACAATTATCATTTGTGAATGTGTGCAGCATTTCACCAGTAGGTCTATCTTTAGAGACTTTATCAAACTAGATTGTACAATTCAACCCATTGCAGCATGATGTCTGTGTGAGTTTTCTGCAGTCCACTAAGGCTGATTTCCACTGCTGTAAGCCAAGCAAAAAAGAGTCAGGGCTTTCTAATTATCTATGCCACAGTTTACTCCAACTCAACATTCATGTGATTCCTTTATCATGTTGATGCCAAAAGAAGGGACTCAATGGTGCGGTTTTCCTTCCTAAATTAACCACCCTTGCTAACATTTTGATGGTTTAATGCTTAAGCGCCCTGCCTTTGGAAGGACATGTGCCCTTGC